TAAGGATATTTAAAAAATATAAATGCAATGATAAATTACAAGCATAGATTGATCATATTTTGCACATTTTAGATAGGATTTATTCGGCAAACGTTTGAGATGACGTAATCAATTTTTTGAGGAAATAAACAGATATACAGGGTGTTATTGAAAGGTACGTAAAACAAAATTGACAGTTATTCGCGAAGTCTAAGAAGTCTGAAAAACTTATTTTGTGTTATCAAAATTACAAGAGGAAACTTAACCCTTATCGAAACTTTTTACACGCTAGTGAAAAATAAATAGGTAAAATTAATTTATTTTAGTTAAATCATAGCAACTATAACAATAAATCTTTTGTCAAGACTAAATGTTGCTATAGAAACGAAAGATGATCTTTTTATCAGAGGCGTACAACGAATTTGGACATAAACTTTAATAATTTTCAGCTCTAAAAGGAGAACACTTTTACCTGAACTTTTTTTTACTTTTAGCACCCATATTTCGAGACCAATTGCCGATTTTATTTTGTACGTACCTTTCAATAAGACGCTGTATTTTGATTAACAATTCACCATGCTTACAATAACTTTATAACGTCTGCAAGATTTCAAAGTATTCAGTTTGCAATTCTTGATTTATTCAATCAAATAAATTAACTGATTCATGTTTTTTTTTAAGTCAAGCTGTATAAGCAAATTAAAAAAATATTAATGGAATGATAAACCACAAGTATAGATAGCAAAATTTTCAGCTGACGTCATCAATTTTTTAGAGAGAAAAGTAAATATATTTTGATTAAAATTGTATTATACTTACTGTTACGTCGAACGGGCGATTAAAATTGGCGTGGGTAAAACTCAACAATTTATTTCTTACTAGAATTTACACGAATAACTATTACACCGGTTGTGTACAAAATAACTTCGGCATCGCTTGTCCGGACTCAACTAGCTGAATAATCCGTTCCCCAAAGGTGGACTCTATTAAAACAGCACACGGTCCTTCTCGAAACCCTACGTCACCGCTTCTAGACTGCTCCGGAACCCCCATTCGCGACTTCCGTTTCCAGGCGTTTCTTTAGCGCTCTGTCGCTAAATCACATTGAGGATGAATCATCATCGGCGTAAAACCAGAGAGTTCTCGACGGCCATAGCCATCGTACCGGGGCGGCGTCAGGGTGTATTTCGTAACATTATCATAACTTTAAAACATCTGCAAGATTTCAAAGAATTCGGTTTTGCAGAATCAAAATTGTTTTTCAAAAATCTGGACGTTTCGGGTAAAAACTCAACACGGAGTCATCAAATTCATGTATAGGACTAACTTATTTTATACAGTTTAAAACCCATTTACTATGTACAATTTTGAAGTGACGTCATCGCATTAGTGGTGGGGATGATTAGACAAATTTTGGTTAGCGTTTTACCATCTACATGATATTCCTAATATATAAATACAAATATACGCTCGGGAAGTAAATATAGAAATAATACACAAAGTAGTTGAAAAAAAAAATCAAGGCGGATTCATAAATGATGAGTACAGGAGTGTATTATTTCATATTCATTTTCACATTGCCCCGTTAAATTCATCATATACCTAAGTACATATTTCAGAACCAAAGACGAGGTGAAATTTTGAACGTTTGAAGTAAATAAATTGGTCTAAGCTTATTTAGCAAAATATTATTAGGTCTATAAGAACTCTACAAATACAAAAATATACAAATAATACATAAAATAATTGAAAAAAATCAAGGCGGATTCATAAGTGACTAGTACAGGTGTATATTTTTTCATAAGATTTACATAGACTTAACTACTCAAAATCATGAAGGAACATCATCAAATTGTTCTGGGGATGATTACACGAATTTTGGTGTACATTACACGATATTCTTAACATACAATTTCACAATGGGTTCAATAATTTCGGAAATTATTTGTACAATAAAAATCAACATGGACGACAGAGACGGAAACGGGAGACCTATTTTTTCGTACTATACGGGTCATGAAACGTCGAGAAAACATAAAGCAGCCATTCGCTGGATGAAAACTAATACAGTAATTCCTTAGCTGACTCAGAAAATTAAAACGTTGTATATTTCGAAGCGATTGAAATTATGGAGCAATGTTTCCAAAAAAAGTGGAAGAATTTAATAAATAGTCTGAAATAAAAATTGACATAAAGTGTTAATTATAATGAGCGACTGTTACAAGAGCAAAATAAATCTGAAATGACATTGATATGGAAAAACACAAAATTTAGAACACAGAAATAAAAATACACTAAAAAATTATAGTAAAAAATTACTATAAAATTTCATAATTTCTTTTGAATAGGTAATTTGAAAATTATAACAGCAAAATTTTGCCACTTAAAAAAGTGTCAAAATCAGTGTCACAATACGAGTTTTATGACAATGTTTCGACCACACAAATGCTGAGCTGTGCACTACTGACTACATGATTCCAATTATGACTTGTTTAAGAGTTAATGGTCATTAAATCACACTAAAAACGAAGTCATAATTTTAAAAAACCGCAAAACTGTGGGTAATTTACAAAATCGTGAATTTTCCTACTTTACCTAACATATAAATTACAAACTTTTAGTCGTTACTTTAGCGCTAAACACTATTATATTGTTAACAATAGTATGTATTTGCATTATAACACTATTGTTTTTTTAAGCGACGCAAATACTTAAACAATGTCTTTAAAAAATAAACAAAGATAACTAGTTCATTCGGTATCGAGTAACAAATCACAGTGTGGATCCAAAATAATAGATTGCCCCAGAAGTTCGAAAAAATATATTACACTTAAAAAAAATGGCACTAATAAACAGAGTAAAAACACACATAATAGTACTTTTAATATATGTAAATGTTTACAAAAAGTCAACTGTTTATAAAACGTAATAATTCGTACAGGTACCTATTTATTCTGATTATAATACACAACAATAATGTAATGACATTCATTTCCCATGAATATACAATACAGCTTGCAAGTAACAGTCAAACATGAAAAACTGTACGTTATATTCTGCATTTTATACTATAAGTTGAAATGCTTTATGTTCATTGGGGTGCAAAATGGCTTTACTCAAGTAACACAAATAAAAATATCAGAAGTATGGTTGCCATTAAGGTACCAGCATATACGTTTTATTACAATATATTATACAGTCTGACGTTTTAGTATCTCAGTGGTAGTAAAACTTGGCCTAAATTTTTTATTTTTGTTGGTAAGGTGGCAGTAATTTGCACTACGATGGACATTTATTATTTAATGTAGCATCTAACTCATTGTTATCTCAAGTTAAATAATTAACTAATTAAACAATAGTAATTAAATGACTCAATTGATAATTTAAAATTGGATAATTAATTTGGGTTAAATACACTTGAGTACCAATTAAATAACTTTTAATTTTAAACTCAATTTTAAACCATTACACCTATGGTTATTGAAATTACTATTAATTATAGTTTGCATCACAACTACGCTTAATTGCTGAGTTTGCAAGTGGTTTTGATTAATTTTGTTTCAACAAAACTCAACTACAATAATAATTATACATTGTAACGAAACGATTATCAATTAATTAATTTTTAGTTGTTACACTTCATTCAATACTATTTCACTATTAATGTAATTAATTATTACCTATGAGCTAGTTGTAGTCTAGATCGGCAGCGAAATATTTTCTAGTCGAAAAGTATATAATCCGATTTGAATATAACCTGATGACCTGTGTTGGGTTCTAGGAAAATCGCCTGCTCGACACAAATTACCTTTTAACCAATGTCAATAAAACCATCTAATTAAAACCCCTACCCACACCCTGCCTTCATTTACTACTTTCTTAATTCCATTTAATACACAGTAAATCGTTTTTCCACGCGATCTTCGCATGCCGCCACACCAAATTCGATTTTAATTATTCGAATTTCCGAGAAGTGATAATGGCCATTCTGCAGGTGTTCGCCCTTCATCGCGCCGCCCTGATTGATTGATAGACCCACATCCTCCTCAATCTCGGTTTCTTTCACAAAAGCCAACGACACAAATAAATAATACACATGCCGTGCACCCTTTCCGAGCCAACACAATAGCGAAGGGAGGGGAAGACAAAGGGCCGCAGGGGGCAACGGCAGCCCCCTTGTTTGCATTATCGAGTCACCGGATAATTCATACCGGCTTGCGGCCAACAAACCCGCCCGATTTGCGTCCAACTGGCCGTGACAGTCGCCGATTTTGCATGAAAAGTGCAAATCGGGCACTTTCCTTGCGAAATTCGCGAAAATGCACCGCCGCAAAATCGTAAAATCGCCGATCTTGCGAAAAAACCACCGCAAAATCCCGATTGTTTACAAATAAAATGTTTACTTACCCGATCATTCTAAGCCGGCAAAACGGGGGTTAGTCGAGCTGGGGTGTGCAGACAAACACAAGGAGGTTGTAAATAAGCCTTCAGAGCACTGTAGTTGCGTGGTTAAACGGCATACAGTCTTAAATTAATAATAAACACGGTGGTTAACAAGTGGTTTGTTAAGATGGCGAGGAGACGTCAAGCAAGACAGAATTAGCGACAATAAACGAACAATAACGTACTAACACAACACAATATGCACTTCTTGGTTATATAAATGTATAAAAATACTTTTCCAATACTGATAGGAGGTTTCTTGGTCCGAATACAGGTTTAAATTACATTTGGTCCGCTGGAAAAATCGTCTGTCAGATTCGCGTGCTGGAAGGGTGTGCGTGACAGTCGGCAAGGTAGCGCGCTGACTTATCGACACGACGCATCTCGCTTACAAACCCTCTTCACGCAAATTAAATCACACGACTCAATCACTGTTTTCTTCGCCAGACAAAATGGGAATTAGCGAGACGTTGATTTTTAATCGATAGTGGCACGAAAGGTATTATTTGCGTGCTTTGTTATGACATTTAGCCGAGACGCAAACCGACTGTAAGGGGGCCTACAAGAAAAGATCCACCATAAGGAAACGATTTAATTAAATATAAATAATAACAGTCAGTTGTCTACTTCTACCGCTATAAGGTAAATACGAGACGGTATGAACGAAACGTGAGAAGGTTCAAGACACTCTTCCATCTACTATCTTTGCAGATTAATCCCCATACCTCCATCTCCACCAGGCAACTGTCATTCTGTCCCAAATATTCTCAAAGCTGAAAGTTAATAAAGGTTCAGTACCCTGTCCAAGTACATACAAACAAAATTAAAAATACATTACAATAACCTATTCTAATCTCTCTAATCCCTAAGATAAACAATGATTCACACCAATTACCTGTCCATGGCAGGCCTTACATCCAATAACGCAAATTGATACTTCTGGCTGACTGAACCCCCATCATAATAATCAATAACATATCTGACTTCTTTGCCACACCTATCCACAATCCAGTCATGTCGATCAAATGGTAATTCATAGCCCAACAGCCACCTGATTCTAGCCCTGGGGCTGTACTGTGTAGCCTTACCTCCAAAACTTTTCAATCTAAAAACATTTACATAAGCTGAGTAAACAAAACTCCATTAATACCCACTTAGGATTGCCACATTCTTTAGCATGAAGAGCTTCCCATTTTAACACTTCTAGCCACGCCTGTTCATTATTTGCGTTGTGTATTTTGATAATATCATCCATGTCTTTGGGTGTAATGTCTTCTTCCTTCCAACGCCAACCTTTTCTCAGCATGGCATTCCAAAACATCTACAAATCTAATCATAACAACAAACATAATCAATCCGGTATGAAAACAAACCTGTTGACTTGGGTACACCCAAAAGGGGCTCTCACCTTCCTTTACAACGGATTTAGGAATGTTAGACACTTGTCGATCCTTTGGCAGCGAAAATGGTTGGCCTGGTGATGGCTCCTGGTTTGCAGGCCCCATCTAAAACACACTTTATTATCACCGCCAAACGTGAACATTCTACCCACCATGTTCAAAGGGTTGATTTCCCCTTGATGGACTGGACACTCAGAGGGGGCTGCTGCTTTATGCATGGGGCATTCCGGTGGTATCTGGGAACCTGTGAAGCCATGGGGCCTAACTACCTCTTTATTAAAGTCATGTTTTTGGGGGGCGTTGGGATGGACAATTTGCGTCGCTGCTATTTCGGCAGCGGATACAGTGTTTCCCATTTTGACTCTGAAACGAAATAACAAGGGTCAAGAGGCGAATAAAAGTGAGGTTATGTCAACTTATGTAATGAATTTTTAGATGAAGTGAATTACGTAAGTTTTAATTAAGAGGATAATAAACACTTACTGTTAGTTTAATGCATATACGGGAAATTTTTTGCTATTTTAATGCAATAACGGCTGATGAAATTTGAGATGACATATGTCATATGTCAAAAAACCGGCACGCGAAAGTAATGGTGGCTAAAGTTGCGCGAGTTTTATTAAGTAATGTTTGTTTAATTAAATAATTATAAATATAATTATAGTAAACAACTCATAAAGTTTTTATTCTCTTTAAGGTAAAAAGAACAAGTAAAATAATATTTAGATTTACTCAATTGTGTTTAACCTCCCGATAACGGTAACACTATTTCAAATAAAATCTATAAATCAAAACATGACAACTTTATAGTTCCTGAAAAATACCCAATTTCAAAGTATTTTAGCGCGGCAAATTTAAAACCGGTCCACTTCATCGTTGCACAGTCTCATTTGAACGCAAAAAAAAGTTTAAAAAAATGTTTCAATATTAATGTTTGAAACAATATGTTGTTAATTAATTCAGTTAATTTACTTATTAGAAGATTAATTCTTTTTGGAAAATCCGTCCTGGATAACGAATTGTTATTAAACTCAATCATATTTTAACAAAATTACTAAAAATACAAACGTAATTCTAAAGTCGGTTTTTTACCACACTGTCAAAATTTATCAGATAATTATTAACATACACACATAAATTCCAACTACAGCTTATTTACTCATAAAGTGACGTCTGTTAAACCTGTTTAAACTGGTCGTAAAAAATATTATTAACTATCAGCGAAAACTAAAATTAATAAAAGCCGCTGTTAATAATGTTAATTTTATTATAGGTTGCAAAACTTGTTTACAACGATTATCGTGCTCTAAATTAATAAAACGTAGTGTTATAAAATAAATTTATTTTAAGTGGTTCATTTCTTTTATCTTTTTTTTTAACAATATCATGAACAATATAAAAATCACAAAAATAAACAAAAAATTTTGTACCAGACTGATTTATCGCTCCACGGTCACTGACTGGTCATTGACTGAAAATAAGTCCAACATAAATACAACCACAAAATATTGCAAATCCCGGTAGTTTATCTAACCAGTTTTCTTTATTTACTTTCAACATTTATTATTTGTCCTCGAACGTATTGAACTTTGCATCACCATGAAGATTTATGAATACAGAAGGCGGATGCAGTTATGCATTCGAAATTTTGAAAGTACAACTCCCGTCCATCAATTTTAATTTCTATTTTCCGTATCGAACACAAGTTTAAAATGCAAATAACACCAAATTTATGATAATATAATGTACGAAACAACAAAATTACAAAATACAAGCACGAAATTCTAATTCATTCAGTTCACAAAAGACAATACAACAAACGCTGCTGCTCCTAATTCGAATGTTAAATTTAGTGTGAAATTCACAAAACAAACAACTTATGCACCATTCACATATAAAAACTTTTCTAAATTAGTAGATACTAATCTGTAATTTAGTCCGGTGAATGGATTAGTAACATGAGAAATGTATTATATCATCTTTTTTTACAACCGGTGTTATAAGTTTTTAAAAATCAAAATTACCATAACGCCTGAAAAAACTAACTTAACCTTGTTATAAACACAGGACACGTAAGCACTTAAAAATATTCTTAAGTACAGTTAGGAATTACGTAAATTACTCAAGTCAATATTGACAATCAAGTCTTTGCACTGTCCCGTCCCCGCTATTAAAAATGGTGTATAACTGGTTGCCGCCTCGCTTCAGACACATCACTTTCCAACTCCGCTCCACTTCCCCCGATTCGTTTCAAAACTTCTCAATATCTCCAAAATCATCGATTCCTTATCCTCCTCGTCAGTTCCATCAAGTGAAATTCCTACACAGTTCAGACAATAGGGCCATGTCCGCACAGGAAATGTAAAGGAAGCAAGTGACGCAATCTATTATAGCTCCTCCAATTAAAGTTGGGTAATTAAGTGAAGACTATCTTCTCCCATCGCAGGCTGGCTTATACACCAATTACGTAACTCAGAAAAATCTTCCCTAATTATTTTTGATTACAAAATTAAAACTACTTGAAACGCACGACGGTAACGACTCAATCCTACTTATTATAATCGGGAAGTCGCATCTCGATGACATTATTGGCTGACTTTCCCGTGGGGGTGAGAGGTCGCAGAGAAAGTGAAGACGCGGTGAACTATGGGTGCCGATTCGACAAAAGCTATGGGTGATCGTGACTGCGGAGGAGGTCGATCGATTTCGTGTTAGAATGTGTCATTGGAGTTCTTATTTGTATTGTTTGCAGAGTTTTTAGCTTGGAGATGCACGATCCGGCTTGGCCTTTGGTCTTTGATGGGGATGCGCGGGTAATGGGATAATCGGTTCCGGGGAAACTGCTTATTAGTGTTTAATGTGATGGTCGTCTCTGATTTTGTTTTTTTCGTGACGTGCAAACACATTCTTTCAAAAAAAAAAAAAAAACGTGGTCATTTATCAGTGTAACATACTGACGATGTTTCAACAAATCCACGCAAATCCTACACACGATTTAACAAATCACCTGTAATAAGTGTAAAGTTATTTAACAGTTTTTTTTATGGTTTTATTATCTAACTGCTACGTGTTATTCTCACAACTATGCATAAAGAGTTTCGAAAAGCAATTTTTATCATTTTCTCTGATACTTTCGCTAAGAATAATATTTACGTATTTTTCTTGTTAGATGTTTGCCGATGCAGTTTTCTTCCTACAGGTGAAAAACGTGCTTATACAACGTCGTCTTGTTTGCTTTCTCTTTTAATTTTTATCTTAACACTTCTTCCAACCTTGCCTTGTACAAGGTTCCTACACGTGAATTCTTCAGATGTGTCGTAATGCATCTACTTGTTTTATTGCAATATCGTTTGCATCTCTTCTCCACTTACAAGTTACTTGTTTGCATTGAAGAAGAAACATGAAATTAAAAATTGAGGATAGTAATTACTTGCATGAACTTAAAATAACAAGGTAATGATTTCTGAGGAATTTGTAGTGGCCTGTCATCTTTTTTGCTGTTCGTATTTAATTATTCGCATTCACATAATGGTTCTATATTTTGGTACATTTTTCTTGTAGATATTTTAGAGTAGCCTAAATAAACATAGTTAATTCTAAATTCTGACTTTTATTCGAAAAATCTACAAGCGTAGACATAGACAAGTGGAAAGGGAAGACTTATTTTTTCATGTTCTAGTAGGTAAGAAACGTCGAGACAGTGGCTGCGTAACGTGGTTTGGCACCCAGGACGGTTTTTTATTGAGCATAATAAAATAACAAATACTAAACGTGCTTACGAGTCTTTATTTTGGTAAAATATTCTACGACGTTATCAAAATTTATTTCCCTGCCTTTTTCAATTGATAAAATGGAAATATTGTTTAGTCGCGCTTAGCTTATTGTGAACCTTAAGCACGATTTTATCAATTTCAATTTAAAAAATCTTAGACAGCGCTAGACTCGGAACAGACTCAGAATAGCACCATTTTACGATGAATCTGGAAAGCTCCAATGTAGTCCACTGAACCACTTCTTGGGAGGAAATGTTGGCGGCTTCCAAGTGGCACTTCAGTCATAAAATTTCCAAAATTATGTCCTCTGCAGAAAATTCATCTCAGATTTTTGTCAGATTTGGAACTATTCCACAAACATCTTTTTTTGATGACGTTAGTAGTGGGATTTATAAACTCACTGTTGACACTGAAGTTGTCGCTGACGTTGCTTCACTGCTGAAAATTGATAGTAAATTTGATGTTCAACTTTTGCCGTATTTAAACAGGTTGTAGAAGAAAAGTGGAAGATTTAAGTTGATTATTACAAAAATTTACCATTTTAGACATGTTTTAAGCTTCTTGTTGTCGAACTAAGTCTATACATATTAAGAAAAAAAGGCAAAATGGAGCCCCGCCCACCCACCCTATCTCAATTGTGATGATTTTTTTTATTCGTCGTGAGCCAAGAGGGCGGAATTTAACTGCAAAATCCTTATTTCTCTACGAGAAATAGTTCAAAGAATAGTATGTATTGTGATGTTTTTTTTTTTAATAGTCGAGACTCAAAGGAGCCGAATTTAAATACAAAATTCTTATTATTTCTCTACAAAAAATTATCATGTAAGACATTTCTTTGAGTATCGTGTTATTCAAAGAATACTATGTATATTAAGAAAAAATTAAGGTTAAAGATTAAGCCTCACCCATACCTGCCTTGATCTAAATAGTAATGAAGTTTTCATTTGTTGGTAGGCCTAGGGGCGGAGCCTAATTACAAATTCCATATTTTCTCTCCTCAGTAAAATTTACCATGTTAAACGTGTTTCAAGTTTCTAACAACAAAATAAATCATCATAATTTTTGGGGTGTATATTTTGTCTTTTTTTCTTAATATACATGGTATTTTTTGAACAACACGATATTCAAAAATATATTTTTTTATTTGTTGTAGCGAAGAAAGTATTTTGCAGTTAAGCTCCGTCCCCTTGATTCACGGGGAATAAAAAAAATCATCACAATTGAGATAGGGCGGGTGGGCGGGCTTATATTTTGCCTATTTGTTTTAATATGTTCTTTTCACAACTTGAAACTTAAAACATGATTAAAATGGAAAATTTGTATAAGGAAATTTCGGTTTTGCAATTAGGCTACGCCCCATAATTGCAAAATCCATATTTCCTTGCAAAAAAGATGACTATGTATATTAAGAAATAAAAAGGCAAAATATAAGCCCCGCCCACCTGTCCTATCTCAAATCTGATGATTTTTTTATTCATCCCGAGTCGAGGGGCGGAGCTTAATTAATCCTTATTTTTCTACGAGAAATTACCATGTGAAATAAGTTCTTAGGTGTTATAGAAAGCAAACTAATGTATTAATTAAAAAAGAAATCCAAAAGGGAAGCCCCACCCATCCGTCTCGATCTCAAACGTGATGAATGTTTCATTCGTTGTCAAACCGAGAGGCGGAGCGTAATTGCAGAATCGATATTTCCGTATACAATTTTACCATTTTAAACATGTTTTAAGTTTCTTGTTGTGAAAAGATGACTACACTTATTAAAAAAAAAAGGCAAACTATAAGTCCCGCCCAACCGCCCTATCTCAATTGTAATGATTTT